CTGTGGGGGGACAGGAGGGAGAGGGGAAAAGGGGAAGGGGGAAAAGGGGGAAGGGAAAAGGGGAGAGGAAAATGGGGGAAGGAAAAGAGGGGAGGGAAAAGGGAGAGGGAAAAGGGGGAAGGAAAAGGGGGAAGGGAAAAGGGGAAAGGGGAGAGGAAAATGGGGGAAGGAAAAAGGGGGGAAAGGGAAAAGGGGAAAGGGGAGAGGAAAATGGGGGAAGGAAAAAGGGGAAAGGAAAAAGGGAGAGGGAAAAAAGGGGAAAGGAAAAGGGGAAAGGGAAAAGGGGAGAGGAAAATGGGGGAAGGAAAAGGGGGAAGGGGAAAGGGGAGAGGAAAATGGGGGAAGGAAAAAGGGGGAAGAGAAAAGGGGAAAGGGGAAAAGGGGAAAGGAAAAAGGGGGGAAGGAACAAGGGGAGAGGAAAATGGGGGGAAGGGAAAGAGGGAAAAGGAAGAGAGGGGGACGGAAAGGGGGAAAGGGAAAAGGAAAGGAAAGGAAAGGAAAGGAAAGGAAAGGAAAGGAAAGGAAAGGAAAGGAAAGGAAAGGAAAGGAAAGGAAAGGAAAGGAAAGGAAAGGAAAGGAAAGGAAAGGAAAGGAAAGGAAAGGAAAGGAAAGGAAAGGAAAGGAAAGGAAAGGAAAGGAAGGAAAGGAAAGGAAAGGAAAGGAAAGGAAAGGAAAGGGGGGAAAGGATTTGCCCATTCCAAAGGCAAATCTGGGGTTGGGGCTGTACAAACACGAGCTTGGCCAGGCCTTGGACTGACCTGGGACAGTGGGAGGGGTCCCTGCCCCTGGCAGGGCTGAGATGGGAAGTTCCTTTAGTTCCCTTCCATCCCAAAATACTCCAGGATTCTGTGAAACCAAAGCTGCTTTGGGGCTGTGCTGCACAGTCTGGGCAAGAAACCCTCCAGATGACTTTGAAATGTCATTAAAGTTATTTTTATGCAAGGGGGTTCAGTGTATCTGTTTAAACAGCAAATGCACCAAACGATGCTTTAAATATTAATACAGGAGGGTGTCTCACTGAATTTAATTTTCCCAATTGATTTCAAGTTGCTCTGGACAGCACAGGGAGGAATATTTGCTATTTTTGCTGCCTGTGAGAAGAGGCAGGAGGCAAAGAAAAAGCTCTTTCTGCATTTACAGGTGGGGCTGGGAGGAGGAGAAACTGGAAGGAAAACAAGAACAAGGCAGCCAGTCCCAGCAGCTGGGAAAATGGGGAGGGCACACATGGAAAAAATTCTATTAATCTTCATTTCAGATTTTCCTTTGCCTGCAGAAAAAAGTGGGAAGAGGAAATCGACCCAATTTATGAAAGCTGATCAAATATGCATTCATCTATTTAATTGGAAATGTTATTAAAGAGTCGCAGGTATGAGCCAGATCTAGAGCCATCAATTTAAATGAGATTTAAATAATTCTCTCCCCTTTCCAAAAGGAGATAAAGGCTCCTTGAATCCCTCTTGCCTCCTCTGGATGGCCCCTGCTCATCCCTGTTCCCTGAGGCCAGGATGGGCACAGCCAAAATCAGCCTGAACCCCCTCAAATCCAACCTGCAGCCAGAGCCCTCCTTCATTTGAGGGAGGAATAATTTACATTTGTCCTTTGGCATGAGGATTTCTCTTTTTTATTTCTTTTTTAAAATTTCTTTTTCTGTTTCCTTTTTAAAATTTCTTTTATTTCTTTTTCTTTTCTTTTTTTAAATTTCTTTTTTTTTCTTATTTTCTTTTTTTTTTCTTTTATTTTCTTCTATTTTTTTTTTTTTTTGATGTCACCAGTGCTGCATCAAAAAGACTCCCAGCCTTTCCCTGCAGCTTTTCCTTGGGACACACAGCCCCGGGGAGAGAAATCCCGACCTTGGGCCCCTTTGGGGTTTCCAAACCTGCCCCAGGACTGAATCCACCTTTGGAGCCTTCCCAAATCCTTCCCTGGATCCCTTCTGGGAGCCTCACCCCAAACCAGCCCAGCAATAAGAACTCAGATTTATTTATTTATTCTCCAAAGAACTAGTAGCTTGTTTTATTCAAAGCAAATACAATTTATTACAATTTTACAGCCCCAGCTGAGCCCCCCCACCCCAATTACAGCCCCAATTAATTACAGCCCTGATTACAGCCAGTCCCAGGGAGGAGATCCATGTGCCCCTTCTCTTTCCATTTAGTGCTTTTAGCAGTAAAAATGATGTAAATTCTGTCTGGAGACACCAGAGCTTTTCTAGGGAAAGGGGTAGACAAGGATGAGTCCCTTGTGTCTGATCCCATCCCATTCCTTTGGAATTCTTGTTATTTTAACCTTTCCTAATTAATAATGGCACAGAAATGCTTCAGGACGAGGCACTTGCACTGCACCTGACAGATTCTGCTTTTTGCCAATTATATAACTAATTCTATTATTAATTATAACGACCTTCCAGGCAGTGGGAGCAGGCTCACAAATTTTACATACTCTCATGTCTCTGTACTTAAAAAAAAAAAATAAAAATGAAGTTTTCTTCCAAGACACTGCTGTGAGCTTTTCAGTTCTGCTCAGGAATGGCACATGGAGGTGGAAGAGATGAATTTCCTCTTGGGAGAAGCATTTGGGTGCTGCTCATTGCTGCTTTACCCCTCAGCAGGGGAGGGGAAAGGGCTGGGATGCTCCCCAAACAGGAGGCAGAGCCCAATCTCCATCCAGCAGCAGAGCAAGACCCAGCCCTGGTGGCAGATAAAGAATTGAAGCACAAACCAGGGCAGACAGGAGCATGAAGCAACAGCACAAAGAGCAAAACAAAAAAACAAAAAAAAACAAAACAAACAAAAAAAAAAAACTCAAAAAAAAAAAACCAAAAAAGGAGAAATTTCTTTTTAATAATCAAGTATTTTCTTAAAAAATCAAGTAATTAAAAAAATAAAATTAAAAAAAAACAAGTAATTTCTATAAAAAATTGAGTAATTTTTTTTAAAAATCAAGTAATATATATATTTAAAAAAACCAAGTAATTTCTTTAAAAAATTGAGTAATTTTTTTTTAAAATCAAGTAATATATATATTTAAAAAAACCAAGTAATTTCTTTTAAAAATCGAGTAATTTTTTTTAAAATCAAGTAATATATATATTTTAAAAACCAAGTAATTTCTTTAAAAAAATTGAGTATTTTTTTTTTAATCAAGTAATATATATATTTAAAAAATCAAGTAATTTCTTTAAAAAATTGAGTAATTTTTTTTAATCAAGTAATATATATATTTTAAAAAAACAAGTAATTTCTTTTAAAAATTGAGTAATTTTTTTTAAAAAATCAAGTTTTATATATATATATATATATATATATAAGATAAAGTCAAATGCATCACTTCTCTCTTTCTCTCTCCCCCTCATCGAGGAAAACAAACTGAACACATTTTTTTTTTTTTCCCCCGAAAACTCAACACCCCTCAGGCCGGTTAACAGCACCAAAGGGGATTTCAGTCGCTCTTGCCCGGTTTCTGCTGGGGGTTGTCCTTCCAGATGCGGATGGTGAGGCAGGTGGCCATGGCCAGCCAGCCCAGGTAGGGCAGCAGCAGCAGCGCTGCCACGCGGTTGATTCGGTACCAGGAGCAAAAGGTGCCCAGGGCCAGCCCGTCCAGGCACAGCACATCGATCACAGCCTGGGGGAGAGAGGGGTGAGCACAGGGCTGGGGGCTGGCACTGCACAGACCCCCAACCCAAATATTGTCCCTGGGCTGTGACCGGTGACACCTGAGTGCGTCACACCACGAGTCATTAATGAATGTGCTCGTCTCTGCTCATGGTGGAATCCCACCCTGCTCATGGCCAGTGTCCCCTGTGCTCACACACCCTGCTCGTGCTGGTGGCCACTGAACAAACTCTCCAAAATACCCAGGTACAGCTGGGAAGTGGGACAGAGACCCCAACCCCCAGTATTGTCTCTGGGCTCTGACCTGAGTGACACCACGAGTAATTAATGATGTGCTCTTCTCTGCTCATTATCACATCCCCTTTGCTGACACACCCTGCTCGTGCTGGTGGCCACTGAACAAACTTTCCAAAATATCCCAGTACACGTGGGGAGCTGGGGCAGGGATGGGGGAGCTGGCACTGGAGAGACCCTGACCCCCAATGTTGTCCCTGGGCTCTGATCAGTGACATCTGAGTGTGTCATATCATGAATAATTAATGTGCTCATCTCCGCACATTATCACATCCCCTTTGCTGACACAGTCTGCTCATGATGATGGCCACTGAACAAAACTCTCCAAAATACCAGGTACAGCTGGGGAAGTGGGACAGGGATGGGGGAGCTGGCACTGGAGAGACCCCAATCCCCAGGGACCCTTGTCCCTGGGCTCCGATCACATCTGAGTGTGTCACACCATGAATAATTATGTGCTCATCTCTGCTCGTTATGGAATCCCACCCTGCTCGTGGCCGGTGTCCCCTCTGCTGACACACCCTGCTCCTGACAGCGGCCACTGAACAAACTCCCCAGCTGCACCTTTCACCCCCAGAGTGACAAAATCCGGACGGAAACACCGATCCCCCAACTGTGCCTCTGTCACCTCGGGCCTTGGCACCTGAGGCAGAGCCTGGTGGCACAGCCTGGCGGCACAGCCCAGGTGTGGCACAGGCCTGGGACAGAGCCCGGTGGCACAGCCCAGGTGTGGCAGTGCCTGGTGACACAGCCTGGGGACAGAGCCCGGTGGCCCAGCCCAGGTGTGGCACTGCCCAGCCCCGCCCCTGGCTGTGCCCGATAAGCCCCCAGAGCTGCTCCCACAGGGATGTGACAGTGCTGTTGTCACTCAGGGTGTGACCCCACAAAGGGCTTTATCTCCCAGCCCCAACCCTTAACTGGGGGGTGCAGCCCTGGCAGTGCCCAGCCCGTTCCCCACCCCGGCTATCACAGTGAGCCTGGAGGGGGCTGATACCCTTGTGTGTGAGCAGGGAGTGGCTGCAGCCCCAAATTCCCTCATCATTCCCCTCAGCACAGCCCCAAAGCACCCCAAAGCCGGCAGGGAAGCCCCATTACCATGTTGAGGTTGTGGGCACCGAAGAACAAGGGTGGCCATGCCCAGTTGAGCACCAGCTGAGCCCCGTAGAGCCCCATGGGGACGATGGCCTTGCTGCTGCAGCCGCCCAGGTCGTTCCACACCAGGTAGGAGGCGTAGCTGTGAGGAGAGACAGCTGTGCAGTGCCACCCTGGGCAGGGACAGGGCCCCCCCTGCACTTTGCCCCCAGCAGGGATTGGCAGCACAGCAGGATCCAGGCACTGGGAGCAGGACAGGGCCCAGGGGACGGCTCTGGGCAGGGTGAGGTTGGAAATCAGGGGAAGTTCTTGCCCCAGAGGGTGCTGGGCACTGCCCAGGCTCCCCAGGGAATGGGCACAGCCGCCGAGGCTGCCAGAGCTCCAGGGATGCCCAGGGTGGGATTTTGGGATCATCCATCTGCACTGGATGATCCCCTTGCAGCTGGGGCTCTTCCATGATTCCATTCCACAATTCCCTGTCCCCTCCTCCTCCCAAACCTCCCCTGTCACACCCAAAGTGGCTCCTGGCCCCTGCCCAGTGGCACGGGCTGGTGGTGGCATCCCCCAGGCTGTGTCACTGCCAGGATCACATCTGGCAGGGACAGGGTCACATCTGGCAGGGACAGGGTCACATCTGGCAGGGGTCACACCTGGCTGGGACAAGGTCACATCTGGCAGGGTCAAACCTGGCTAGGACAGGGTCACATCTGGCAGGGTCACACCTGGCAGGGTCAAACCTGGCTAGGACAGGATCACACCTGGCTGGGGACAGGGTCACACCTGGCAGGGTCAGGACGCCCCAAAGCTGGGACAGAGTCTGGCAGGGTCACACTGGCTGTGCCAGGGCCAGCAGGATGGGACACTCACCCCATGCCCATGTACAGCATGGTCCCAGGGCATAGGGAGCACTCAGAGCCTGGCGGGGCCACTCTGGCTGTGCCAGGGCCAGCAGGACAGCAGGACAGCAGGACAGCAGGACAGCTGGACAGCAGGACAGGACACTCACCCCATGCCCGTGTACAGCATGGTCCAGACCACAGGGAACACCCTGCGGGACGGGCACCAGGAAGGTTTCTTCAGCTTCTCGTACCACGCTGGGATCTCCTTCCTGTTCAGGAACCAGCCAAGGAATCCTCCAACGTGGGGCAGGACGGGTGAAGCCCACGGTGTAAGCCCACATCCTCCCTCAGGGGCTTGGAATTGCTTTTTTCCTGCTCTAAGTTAAAAGCAAAATCACAGCATCACTTTTAAAGGATGGGGTTTCTTCCTCCCTGCTTCCATCCTCTAATTCCACATCCCATTTCAGCCCCTAAGGCAGCTGGAAATGATTTAATGTGTTCAGCCCTCTCTGAAATGGGGATTGTTCCTGTCTGGGATGTTTTCCCCCCTGATTTTCCCACTCTTTCACAGCTCCATGTAACATTCTGGTGTGGGGGGCTGTCCCCATCCCTGCCCCTGGGGCTGGCAGGCTCTGAGGCGCCTCCTGGAGCTGCTCCCCCTTCTCTGCTGCCCCAGGATGAAAACCCAAACTCCATCCAGACTTCCCCATGATTTTTCAGCGTGGGTTTCTATTTTAATTTCTATTTTAAAAGAGGCCTGTGACAGAAAAACCCTTGCAGCAGCTTGAAGTGCTCCAGGAACCCACGGCTGAGAGAACTCTCACCTTCGCACAGTGGGAGGCTCTGAATTTGTTCACCGAGTTCCTTTTGTATAAAACCAAGGGAAATTTTTCTTTAATAATAAAAATGTTCCCACACAATGCAGGGTAAGACCAGGACACATCCAGAATTCAGTGTCTGTCCTGCATCTTCCCCTGCAGAGCTCCAAACCTGCCACTCTTCCATCCTCCCCTCATTAAGCCCATTAAGCCCATAACCCCCATTAAGATTCGCCGGGAATGCCAGGCAGGAGCTGCCAGCAGAGCAGTTCTGAGCTGTCAGCACGAGCACAAAATGCACCTGGGAGGGTTTGGGATTTAGGAATGCAGGAGGAGCAGCCCCTGAGCCAGGGGAATGTCCCAGGGCACTGCCCAGGGAGATGGGGAATAGGGGATGGGGCTGACCTCCACACGCTCTGCTTGGGTTTCAGCTCACGATTAACACTCCGCTGCACGCTCGGCTAATTAGCTAATTGTTATTATTGTCACCACACCGTGCTTGGGAACGCCAAATTCCCACCTCACCGAGGAACAAACGCCCCGAACACCACCTCAATTCCTTCACCTGACAGTTCATGGCACTCCCAAAGTAGCCACAGAACCAGAGAACAGCTGGAAACGGACCCAAATTCAGTTCTGCTTTAAAGGTCACCCAGCCCTGCCACGTTCTGCTCCCCACACACACCACAGGAACAGAATATAGGAAAATACTGAATTTCCCCCAGTTCCTTTGGGGCTGCAGAGGGGAAGGAGGGTTGGAAAACTTTCTTTTGGTTTTTTCCTCAGCTGCCTGAGCCTTACCTGGGTCAGTGCCTCGCTGTGCCTGGCCGAGGGAAGGGCTGGGACACCCAGGGCTGTCCCTGTCACTGGTGATCCCCGAGTGCTGCAGCTGCAGCCGCGTTTTACCCAAACGGCCCCAAACGGCCCCAAACTGGGCGGGGAGCTGGGGCTGGGGCTGATTAAACTGGGAGCTGCTGCTGGGGGCAGGCACTGGGAGTTTGGGGTGGTGGAGCTTGGGGACAATCATTGGGAGTGCAGGATGGTGGAGCCTGGGGAAAATCATTGGGAATTTGGGGTAATGGAGCCTGGGGAAAATCATTGGGAATTTGGGGTAGTGGAGCCTGGGGACAGGCACTGGGAATTTGGGGTAGTGGAGGCTGGGGACAATCAGTGGGAATTTGGGGTAATGGAGCCTGGGGACAATTATTGGGAATTCGGGATGTTGGAGCCCAGAATTTGGGGTGCTGGGGCCCTGGGACAATCACTGGGAATTTGGGGTGCTGAAACCTGGGGACAATCCCTGGGAATTCAGGATGGTGGAGCCTGGGGACAATTGCCAGGAATTTGGGATGGTGGAGCCCAGGGACAGTTGCTGGGAATTTGGGACATTGGAGCCCAGAATTTGGGGTGCTGGAGCCCCGGGATAATTGCCAGGAGTTTGAGGTGGGTCCAGGGGCAATCGCTGGGTGTCCCTGGCACCTCACAGGGTGTCACCATCACATTCAGGGGGTGTCCCTGGCACCTCACAGGGTGTCACCATCACATTCAGGGGGTGTTCCTGGCTGGCACCCCCATGGGTGTCCCTGTCACACTCATGGGGTGTCCCTGTCACACTCATGGGCTGTCACCATCACATTCAGGGGGTGTCCCTGGCACCTCACAGGGTGTCACTGTCACCTTCAGGGTGTGTCCCTGCCTGTCACACTCATGGGTGTCCCTTCTGCATTTAAGTGGTGTCCCTGCCATAGTCATGAGACGTCACTGTCACATTCTGGGGTGTCCCTGTCACACTCACAGGGTGTCCCTGTCAAATTCACCCTATGTCCCTGTCACGCTCATGGGTGTCCCTGTAAATTCACCCTGTTTCCTTGTCACACTCATGGGATGTCCCTGTTACACTCATGGGTGTCCCTGCCACATTCATGGGGTGTCCCTGTCACACTCACAGGGTGTCCCTGTCAAATTCACCCTGTTTCCTTGTCACACTCATGGGATGTCCCTCCGACCCTCCTGGCCTGTCCCACCCTCCCCCAGGCCCTCATTAACACCCCAATAATTAACCAAGCGTTTCCCAGGGCCACCTGTGCGTCCCTTTGGCCGAAATTTCCCTGGCAGGTGAAACGAAGCTGCTCCATGGGTGTGTAAAATGGCAGGGGGAGAAGCCAGAAATCAATTTCCATTAGGGAGCTGTCTGGCAGGGCTGGCAAAATGAAACACTAATTCCCAGCAGTTCTGGGTCATTACCTGGATTTCATGGAGGCAGGAGCAGGGCTGGCTCCTCACACGCTGGGATTTTGCTGCTGCAACAGGAATCAGGCAAATCTCCTCTTTCACTGAGCTCCCAAGGAAATGATTTTTATTTTTTTTTCATGGGAGGAGAAAGAAAGAAAGAGGGGGAAAAAAACTGCTGTAAAAAGCCAGATTTTCAGCCAGCCTGAATGGTGCCCTGCCATGGGTTGGTCCAGTGGAATTCCCAGTTCCAGGGACAGATGCAGAGCTCATTAATCACACCCCAACCTCCTGCATCTCCTCCCAGAGCCTGTTGCTATTTGTGACTGGAAATTTGTGTCATGGAACCATGCAGCTCCTAAAAGAGCCCAAACAGTTTCCATCCCAGTCAGCTCCTGCTGCCCCCACCAGCTTTGGCAAAAAGCACAAAATTTGACAATTTTCAGATTTTCGTCCCCCTGGGCACGAGCCCAATCCCACACGTTTGGCAGGAGAGTGCCCAGGCTGGTTTGGAATGGAATGTGCTGGAAGGTGGAGGAGCTGAGGGTCAAATCCCAAGGATCTGTGGATGTGGGATGCTGGGAATGCTGCTGGGGATGGGGGAACAGAAAATGGGAGGAGGGAAAAAACAACAGGGGCAGCTCCAGGCCTAAAAGTTCCTCCTGTCCTGGGCACATGCTGGAGCAGGAAACAGCCCTGGGAATGCTCTGGAAAAGGGGATTTATGGGGATGGAGAAGGGGATTTATGGGGATGGAGAGGGGAATTTGTGGGGACGGAGATGGGGAATTTGTGGGGATGGAGATGGGGAATTTGTGGGGATGGATATGGGGAATTTGTGGGGATGGAGATGGGGAATTTGTGGGGATGGAGATGGGGAATTTGTGGGGATGGAGAGGGGGAATTTGTGGGATGGAGAGGGGAATTTGTGGGGATGGAGATGGGGAATTTGTGGGGATGGAAACGGGGAATTTGTGGACATGGAGAGAGGAATTTGTGGGGATGGAGATGGGGAATTTGTGGGATGGAAGATGGGGAATTTGTGGGGATGGAGAGGGAAATTTGTGAGGATGGAGATGGGGAATTTGTGGGGATGGAGATGGGGAATTTGTGGGAATGGAGATAGGGAATTTATGGGGATGGAGATGGGGAATTTGTGGGGATGGAGATGGGGAATTTGTGGGGATGGAAGATGGGAGATGTTGAGGATGGAGATGGGGAATTTGTGGGGATGGAGATGGGGAATTTGTGGGGATGGAGAGGGGGAATTTATGGGGATGGAAGACAGCAGATTTTGGGGATGGAGATGGGAATCTGGGGATGGAGAGGGGAATCTGGTGACGTGGGGATGTCTTCCTCCCCTTCCCATGGATTTCCACCCCGACATTCCAGCTTTGGATGATTTCCCAGCAGCCCAGGCTGAGCTGAGGCTGCTCTGCAGCTCAGGGGCCGCAGGGATTTGGGATCCTGGCTGTGCAGCATCCCCGCAGCCCCGGGCACAGGCACAGAGCTCAGTTACCCGGCGCTGTTTGTTCCGCTCTCCTTGGCAACCCCCGCACGTCCTGCCCGCCGGGGCTCGCTCCCTGCACGATTAATTGCTCCAATAGAAAGGCCCCGTTCACCTGAATATATTATTGAGAAGCCGCATATTTCAATCCGCCCTAGAGTTGGAAATAGAGATGCAGGGGCAGCTCCTGCCATAAATCCGCAGAGCTCCTGGAAGCCGGCGGAGCTTCCCTGATTTACGGCGGCAATAAAGGACCGGGATGGGGATGGGGAGTCCTGGCTGCCACCAAGGACGTGGCAGGGGACAGGCAGGACCCTGGTGGCCATTCCTGTGACCTGCCAGCCCCGACACTGCGGCAGGAAACGTTTCCTTGTGCTGCACTGGGAAAAAAAAACCCGAAAAACCAAACCAAAGCACCACCATACTTTTAATTTTCTTAAATTTTTTTTGTTGTTTTGCGGGGGTTTTTGTTTGTTTTTAGGGGATTTTTTGGGTTTTTTTATTATTTTTATTTTTATTTTTATTTTTATTTTTATTTTTATTTTTATTTTTTGTTTTTATTAATGTTGGTTTTGCTCGGTTTGTTTTTTTTTAGTTTTTTTGATTTTTTTTAAATTTATATTTTTACATATAATATATATCTATTATATTATTTATTTATTTTCTATTTATAATTTTTTTTTGTGTGTGTGTGTGACGCTGACATAAAAATCCCGCGTCCTATGAAGGGATGTTTGTTTTGGTGTCTTGTTTATTTTGGGGGATTTGGACTTCAGAAAGCCTTTATTCCTATAAAAATGTGGGGTTTTGGAATATGGGAATCTTTATTCCCACAAAACTTGGGGGATTTGGGGGTTTGAAAGAGTTTTATTGCCACAAAACTCGGGTATTTTGAAAAAGCTTCGTTCTCAAATCTTGGGTGTTTTAGGGTTTGAAAGGGCTTTATTCCCACAGAACACAGGGGGTTTGGGGTTTGAAAAACCTTTATTCCCACAAAACTTGGGGTTTTGGGGTTTGAAAAACCTTTATTCCCACAAAACTTGGGGTTTTGGGGTTTGAAAAACCTTTATTCCCACAAAACTCGGGGTTTTTGGGGTGTGACCCAGTTCTGGAGACACTTGACTCAAATTCCAGCTCCAGATCTCCCTTGGCACCAGATCCTGGTTTCTGTTTGGGGTCAATCCCAAATCTGAATGGCCAAAGGCAAACACTGCAGTGACAGTGTGCCCTTAATTATTAATTTTTTTTTTTTTGGTGATTTAATTAGGAGCAGGATCTGGGTTTGGGGCAGGAAGTGGATTAGGGGAGCAGCTGCCTCTTTAATTGGGGCCACTTCTCCTCCCTTTCATGTCACCCTTTGCTCTCCCAGAGGCAGCTCCAGGCTCTGGGGATCCTCTGGAGATCCCAACGAGGCAGAGCTGGGGGAGGTTTTTGGTTATTTATAACCCCAGGGGCTGAAGGGGGATATATTTCTTTGGATTCCAATCTTTAATCTGCTCCTGGCGGCTTCTGTGGAAATCCTGAGCCCCTCCTGCAGCAGCTTTTATCCCAAGCTCCCCTCTCTGCTCTGCTCCCAGCACATTCCCAGGGATTAATCCTGGCAGGAATCCTGGCCCACCCTCCTGGCATCCCAAAAGCCCAGCCCAGGGACCCCTGGGCAGCTGTAGCAGCTGCTTGGACATCCCCAAAATCTCCCATCTTCCATCCCCAAAACTTCCCCTCTCCACTCCAAAAATATCTCCTTCTTCATCCCCACAAATTCTCCTGTCCACCGCAAAAATCTTTCCCTTTTTATCCCCAAAACTTCCCCTCTCCACCTCAAAAATATTTCCCTCCCCATCCCCAAAATCTCCCATCATCCATCCCCAAAATTTCCCCTCTCCAACCCAAAAATCTTTCCCTCCCCGTACCCAAAATCTCCCATCTTCCATCCCTACAAATTCCCCTCTCCACCCCAAAAATCTTTCCCTTTTTATCCCCACAATTTCCCCTCTCCACCCCAAAAATATCTCGCTCTTCATCCCCAAAATTTCCCCTCTCCACCTCAAAAATATTTCCCTCCCCATCCCCAAAATCTCCCATCTTCCATCCCCACAAATTCCCCTCTCCACCCCAAAAATATTTCCCTTTTTATCCCCAAAATTTCCCCTCTCCACCTCAAAAATATTTCCCTCCCCATCCCCAAAATCTCCCATCATCCATCCCCAAAATTTCCCCTCTCCAACCCAAAAAGATCTCCCTCTTCATCCCCAAAATTTCCCCTCTCCACCTCAAAAATCTTTCCATTTTCATCCCCAAAACTTCCCCTCTCCATCCCCACATCCTCCCCCATCTCCAAAATCTCCCACCAATTTCCACCCCAGTTTCCCCTTTTCCATCCCCAGATCCTCTCCAGGGAGGCTCTGCAGCTCAGGGATGGCACAAGCAGCTGCAGCAGCAGCAGATTTCTCTCCCTCTGGAGAAAAAGCTGAAGGAGACCTGGAATCACAGAATGAAGGAGGCAGCTGAGGCTGCAGAGCTCATGGAGTGAGGAGCAAAGCTCCTGGAAGCTTCTGGAAGCAAACCCTGCACACAGCCAGGTGAGTTTGCACTCAGGGTACCATTTTTATTTTGACATAGATAGATTTTTTTTTTATATATATTACATCATTTAAAAACAGATTTTTTTTGTAAAAACACACACACTTTTGGTTTGGTTTTCTCGCTTGTTTTTTGCAGGTCAAAGCCACCCCAGCGTGTCCCACACAGTGCAAAGGAACAACCTGTGCATTCCCCCTCTCCTCCCCCTGGAAAATCAAGGTTGGTGTCCTTGTCTCCCCCTTCCAGAGCCACCACAAAGTGTCCCCTACTGCCCTGGGGACAGCTGGGTCCTGCTGGAGCCTGGGGAGGGGACACTGCTCTGGGACAGGGAGCAGGGAGAGGCTGCTCCATCCGGGATTTATCCAGGGAAAATTCACTCGGGAGGATTCATCCAGGAGGGAGAGGCTGGGATCAGAACCCGCCCTCAGATCGGCTCAGTTGGAGTAAAAAGAGGCTCAGGAGGAGGAAAAAATAGGCTCAAGGGGAGTAAATAAATGTTCTTTGGGTTCTCAGCCCTTTTCCATGCATCAGCCTAAACTCTGGGGTGAATTCCTCCTGGAGAAATTCTCCTGGATAAATTATCCTGGGTGAATTCCTCCTGGATGGATCCTCCTGGAGAAATCCTCCTGGATGGATCCTCCTGAATAAATCCTCCTGGAGGAATTCTTCCTGGATGAATCCTCCTGGATTCTTCCTGGATGAATCCTCCTGGAGAAATTCTCCTGGATGGATCCTCCTGGATTCCTCCTGGAGAAATTCTCCTGGATAATTCCTCCTGCCAGCCCAGCAATTCCCTGTCTCTGTGCCCTGCATTCCCTTCATAGGAAACACCACGAAATTCCCCCAGGCCCCTTTTCCCTCCCTGATTTGGGCTGGCAGGGCTGGGGCACAGTCCCAGTTCAGTCCCAGTTCAGCCCTCCCAGTCCCAGTTCAGTCCCAGTTCAGTCCCAGTTCAGCCCTCCCAGTCCCAGTTCAGTCCCAGTTCAGTCCCAGTTCAGCCCTCCCAGTCCCAGTTCAGCATTCCCAGTTCAGCCCTCCCAGTCCCAGTTCAGCACCCCCAGTCCCAGTTCAAGCTTTTTTCCCCCCAGGAAGGTTGGGAGAGCTGAGGGCAGAGGGAGGAGAGGCACTGACATCCTGAGAGGCTCCTCCCTCTGCAAATCCCCTGAGAAAAACGGATAAAATGGAATTTTTCCTTTGCACAGCACCCATTGAAGAGCTCTCCCCTGTGTCCTGGGCTTCACTAAGGCTCAGTCCTTTCCCATAAATCTGAAAAAATCTCCTTTATGGCCTCACAGCTCCAAGGGGAAGCTTTAGCTGGGAAATGAGAATTAAATGAGCACCAAAAGCTCTCCCTGATCCACTGGAGTTCCAGGAGTGTGTCTGAAGTAGCGAATTAAATCTGATTTTTATTTTTTCCAAGTCCTGCTGGACGCAACCCAAGCAGAGAACCGACGATGATTTGTCAATTAAGGAGAAAAAAAGGGAAATAACGACCGTACCCATCGTGGCCAAAAGGCTCCACCTGGTGGCGTTTGCACCCAAAAAGGAGGGGGGGAAGCACGGATCGTACTGGTTAAACTGGTTCACAGCAGAGGAAAGGCTTTAAACTCGAGGTAAAACTCGAGATTAAACTTCTCCCAAGCTGGGAGAGGAGGTGGCACGATGGGAATGGGAATTTTGTGTGGAGAAATGGACCCTGGAAGGGGACAAAGCATCCGGGGGGCGGCACAAAACCTGAATTGTGGCCACAAAACCTGAGCACAGCCAAGTGGTGCTGCCCTGCACAACCGAGCAGGAGTGGGAATAATACAGGAAATATTTTAATGCTTTTTTCTTGAGTGCATTCCTATCAGGGAAAAGGGAACGGCCAGAAGCAAAATGCCAAGCTCAGATATGGAAGCAGGCTGAAGAAAAGTTGGTTATTCTGCTAAAAAACAAAGAGGCAGGGACAGGAGAAACGGGAGAGTTGAAAAACCCAGGCTTGTCGTGCTCAGCCTGCAAGGGGAGCAGAGGGAGGAATCCTTCATCTGCAGCTTGGGCAGGACAGGGAGCACCCAGCTGGGATCCCCTGCTCTGCAGGAATCAGGAAGGTTTGGGGTGGGAGAGAGGAGCTGGCTCACCCCAAAGCCACTCCAGCGTGGGTCAGGAACAGAACCAGGAGAAATCCCTGCCCAGAGGAGCCTGGTCCCTGCTCCAGGGATGGGCTGAGCTCCAGTGGCTCCCAGTAAGAGCCAGGGAGTCCAACTGGGGCAGGAGGAGGGCAGAGCCTCCTGCCTGTCCTGGTACCTGCAGGTTTAGTGCTGGGCTCCAGCCAGGAGGGTTTTAATGGAAAAGGGTTGGGATTGTCCATGGAAAGGCTGGGAAAGGCTCAAAGTGCTGGGAAAGGCTCAAAGCACTGGGAAAGGCTCAAGTGCTGGGAAAGGCTCAAGTGCTGGGCTCAGGAGCAGCAGGAGGTGGAGCAGCCCCTCTGGGTTTGTCCCTGCTGGGGTTTCCTCCAGCTGGAGCAGCCAGGGCTGGGATCACCCTTGGGCACCAGGGTGGAGCTGTCAGTGATGGGGAGGGGGCTCTGCTCCTGCCCAGGGGCACAGGACCCAGCAGGGGCACCCATGGGCATTGTCACACGCTGCCATTGGGGCATTGTCACATCCCTCTGCTCCTCCTGAGCAGCCAGGGGGACAGCCAGGGATGTCCCCTCCCAGAGACACCCTATCCCAGAGATGGATAACCTATCCCAGGGATGCCCCTTCCCAGAAATGTCCCATCCCAGAGACACCCTATCCCAAAGATGTCCCATCCCAAAGCTGCCCTATCCCAGAGATGCCTCGTCCCAGAGATGTCCCATCCCAAAGATGCCCTATCCCAAGGATGTCACCATCCCAGAGACAACCTCTCCCAGAGATGTCCTCTCCCAGAGACACCCCCTCCTAGAGATGTCACCTCCCAGACATGCCCCATCTCAAAGATGTCCCCTCCCAGAGACACTCCATCCCAGAGATGTCACCTCCCAGAGATGCCCCATCTCAGCACCTTTTTGAGGCGTCAAACCCAACAAAGCAGAGCCCCCCCCGTCCCCAGTCCTCTCCTGGGGGTGCAGAGCCCCCAGGCCCTGCAGCAGGAGGCTCCCAGCCCCCAGCCATGCTCTCTCCTGGGGGTTCCTGGGTGTGGGGCAGAGCAGGGGGTGCTGGGTGCCCCCCTCAGGGGGTGAAGAAGCGCCGCAGCACCAGGTGCCCCAGCACCACCACCACGGCTGCCAGCAGCAGGTACTTCACATAAACATTGTCCAGGTTCTGCACGGCCTCCTGCCAGGGAGGGGACACGGGGGGGGTCAGTCCTGGCAGTGTCCTTGACCCCAAAGCTCAGCCCCTGACCCCCAATCCCTGACTACTCCAGCTGTCCTGGCCCCCGTAACACAAAATCCTGCCCCCAAACCTGCCCCAAACCTGCCCCCAAACCTGCCCCAAACCTGCCCCCAAACCTGCCTCAGAGCTGCCCCAAACCTGCCCCCAAAGCTGCCCTCAAACCCTGCTACCTGCCCCCAAAACTGCCCCCAAACCCACCCCCTGCCTCCAAAGCTGCCCCCAAACACATCCTCTGCCCCCAAAGCTGTCTCAAAGCTGTCCCCAAACCTGCCCCAAATCTGCCCCCTGAGCTGCCCCAAACCTGCCCAGAGCTGCCCAAACCTGCCCAGAGAGCTGCCCCAAACGTGCCCCCAGAGCTACCCCAAACCTGCCCCCTGCTCTGCCCCACCCCAAACCTGCCCCAGAGCTGCCCCAGAGCTGCCCCCAAACCTGCCCAGAGCTACCCCAAACCTGCCCCAGAGCTGCCCCAGAGCTGCCCCCAAACCTGCCCAGAGCTGCCCCAAACCTGCCCCGAGCTGCCCCAAACCTGCCCCCAAACCTGCCCCAAGCTGCCCCAAACCTGCCCAGAGCTGCCCCAGAGCTGCCCCAGAGCTGACCCCGGGCTGCCCCTCTCACCCATCCTCCCTGCTGCACGATCCAGCGGGCGATGCGGTGCTGCAGCATGAACTCCCCGACGTAGCCCGCGATGCGGCACACGAACCCGCTGACCCCGCGCTGCCACACGTGCATGGCCAGGCGGTACCCGAAGGCCATCAGGGCGATCACGCGGCCCCAGTTGATGCCGCTCTCAAACAGGCTGCAAAAAAAAACCCCCAGGTGATGCCTGAATTCCTGCCCTGAGCTCGCTGCTCAGAGCTGGCCGGGCCAGGGGAGCGCGAGCAGCGGGGTCGGCATTGAGGAGATGGCCCCAGGTTGTACCAGGAAAAGCTTAGGTTGGATATTATTGGAAATTTTTCCCTCTGGAAGGGTTGGCCAAGCTGAAGGATCTTGAGCAAAATGATCAGGATTGAGGAAACGGCCCAAAATTTTACCAGGAAAAGCTTAGGTTGGATATTACGGCATTTTTTTTCTCTGGAAGGGTTGCCCAGCTTTGGAACTGCTGCCTACACCGGGGAATCTTGAGCAGTGCAGTCAACATTGAGGAAATGGCCCAAAATTGTACCAAGAAAAGCTTAGGTAGAATATTATTGGAATTTTTTCCCTCTGGAAGGGTTGGCCAGCCTTGGAACAAGCTGGGGAATTTTGAGCAGTACAGTCAACATTGAGGAAATGGCTGAGGAAATTTTCCAGATTGTACCAGGAAAAGCTTAGGTCGGGTATTTGGGAAAATCTTTTCTCTGGAAGGGTTGGCCAGCCTTGGAACAGCTGCCTACACCAGGGAATCTTGAGAAGTGCAGTCAAGACTGAGGAAACAGCCCCAGATTGTACCAGGAAAAGCTTAAGTTGGATATTATTGGAAATTTTCTTCTCTGGCAGGGTTGGCCAGCCTACACTGGGGAATGTTGAGCAGTACAGTCAACATTGAGGAAATGGCCCCAGATTGTACCAGGAAAAGCTTAGGTTGGATATTATTGGAATTTTTTCCCTCTGGAACGGTTGGCCAAGCTGAAGGATCTTGAGCAAAATGATCAGGATTGAGGAAACGGCCCAAAATTTTACCAGGAAAAGCTTAGGTTGGATATTATAGAAAATCTTTTCATGGGAGTTGAGAGAAGTGACTCAGAAATGGAGCTGCACTCAGAATTTTCCATGGGAATCCAAACATTCCTGGGAAAAATGTGGCCCTGCAGCAATTTGCAAATTTACCTGAGTGTGACAAGGGTTAATTTACCTGAGTGTGACCAGGACAAGGACAGGGGTTAATTTAATTTACCTGAGTGTGACAAGGGTTAATTTTCCTGAGTGTGACAAGGACAAGGACAGGGGTTAATTTACCTGTGTGTGTTGCCACCTCAGCCAGCGCGGCTGCCAGGCCAGGGGAGCAGGAAAAGGACAGAAAGGAAGGAGTTAAACACTGGAGAAAAGAAGGAATTAGACACAAACACCGAGCAGAGGGCACAGGGACAGGGCTGTCACAGCCAGAGGTGTTTGGAGCAGTGACAGGAGCCCAGAGACCCGTCCTGCCTGACTGGGGTGGGCATTTCCCTGCAGACGGAACCCCTTGGTGTCTCCTCAATGCAAACTTCCCTGGGAAGTCCTGGCAGCAAGGTTTCCAGGTCTGTGCCCTCATCTGTCACTGTGCTTTGGGTGGCTGTCACCTGCAGGAGGCTCTGGGTGTCCCCTGCAGGCTCTGGGTGTCATCTGCAAGCTCTGGGTGTCACCTGCAGGCTCTGGGTGTCCCCTGCAGGCTCTGGGTGTCCCCTGCAGGCTCTGGGTGTCATCTGCAAGCTCTGGGTGTCCCCTGCAGGCTCTGGGTGTCCCCTGCAGACTCTGGGTGTCACCTACAGGCTCTGGGTGTCATCTGCAAGCTCTGGGTGTCCCCTGCAGGCTCTGGGTGTCATCTGCAAGCTCTGGGTGTCCCCTGCAGGCTCTGGGTGTCCCCTGCAGACTCTGGGTGTCACCTGCAGGCTCTGGGTGTCACCTGCAGGCTCTGGGTGTCATCTGCAAGCTCTGGGTGTCCCCTGCAGGCTCTGGGTGTCATCTGCAAGCTCTGGGTGTCCCCTGCAGGCTCTGGGTGTCACCTGCAGGCTCTGGGTGTCCCCTGCAGGCTCTGGGTGTCATCTGCAAGCTCTGGGTGTCCCCTGCAGGCTCTGGGTGTCCCCTGCAGACTCTGGGTGTCACCTACAGGCTCTGGGTGTCATCTGCAAGCTCTGGGTGTCACCTGCAGGCTCTAGCAGCCCGTGAAGCAGCCCCCATACCGAGGTGTCCATGAGGACCAGCTTGGGTGGGGACTCTGAGCCACCTCATCTCGTGTGTGGCATCCTGCCCATGGCAGGGGCTCTGGGGTTGTTCCCTGAGATGTCCCAGCCTGGAGCAGGGGACAGCAGGAGCTGGTTGTGCCCCCAAGGGGCAGCTGGGACAGGCAGGGGCTGTGTGTCCCAGGGACATCTCCTGAGGGACCCCAGGTGCTGGGCAAGGCCTGGGAGGGCACAAGGACAGGAGCATTGCACAGGAGGAGGAGCAGACAGGCAGAAGACACAGGAACAACCCCGGGAAGCTCGCAGGGCTGGAGGGTGAACCTCAGACAGAGCGTGGGTTTAACCAACAGCACCGACCACACCCGACCTCCCCTCCCCTTCTCCTGCAGGGGGAACCCCCAGCCCACCCCAGGAGCTCGGAGGCTTTACCTGGAGGCAATTTTGGTGAAGTGCTTGTAGGCGTTGTCGCGGGTGGGCTGCAGGCTCTCCAGCATGGTGCGGAACTCGGCGTCGTAGCGCTCGTAGATGTCGTCCCCGATGATGGCCAGGCGCCGCCCCACCTGGCTGCCCGTGCTGGGGGGCACAGGGCGAGTCAGGCCAGGCTCTGGAGCACGGCCTGGCTCGTGGGGAGGGGTAGGAGCAGGGATTCACCTCGCCAGGTTCTGCTGGATCTGCTCGATCTCGGGGTCGGGCGGCAGCTCCGCGCCGCGCTCCTGGCGCTCCTGCTGGTAGCGGTAGAAGGCGTAGCTGCGGAACACCTCCTCAGCCTCCTTTGCCACGTGGCCTTCTGCAGGGCCAGAGGGACAGAGAGCAGGCCATCTCTCTCCATTCTCAGGTTTGGAAGAGAGACATTCCCACAGAACCTCACACACAGGTGTCCCTACACCCACAGAACCTCCTCCAGACCCACACAGGTGTCCCTACACCCACAGAACCTTCTCCAGACCCACACATGTGTCTCTGCACCCTCACAACCCTCTCCAGAACACCTTCTCAGCCTCCTCCACCACGCGGCCTTCTGCAGGGCCAGCAGGGACAAAGCTCAGGGCGCGTGCTCATCTCTCTCCATTCTCAGGTTTGGAAGAGGCCATTTCCACAGAACCTCCTCCAGACCCACACATGTCACCACAGAACCTTCTCCAGACCCCACAGGTGTCCCTACACCCACAGAACCTCCTCCAGACCCACACATGTCACCACAGAACCTTCTCTAGACCCACACAGGTGTCCCTACACCCACAGAACCTTCTCCAGACCCACACAGGTGTCCTACACCCACAGAACCATCTCCAGACCCACACATTTGTCCTTGTCTCCATACAACCTTCTCCAGATCAACACGTGTATCCCTGTCCCCACACAACCCTCTCCAGACCCCTACAGGTGTCCCTACACCCACAGAACCTCCTCCAGACCCACACATGTCACCACAGAACCTTCTCCAGACCCCACAGGTGTCCCTACACCCACAGAACCTCCTCCAGACCCACACATGTCACCACAGAACCTTCTCTAGACCCACACAGGTGTCCCTACACCCACGGAACCTTCTCCAGACCCACACATTTGTCCTTGTCTCCATACAACCTTCTCCAGACCAACACGTGTATCCCTGTCCCCACACAACCCTCTCCAGACCCATACAGGTGTCCCTACACCCACAGAACCTTCTCCAGACCCACACATTTGTCCTTGTCTCCATACAACCGTCTCCAGACCAACACGTGTATCCCTGTCCCCACACAACCCTCTCCAGACCCACACAGGTGTCCCTGTCCCCACACTGCTCAGGGACACAGCCAGGAGCAGCGTCCCTGCCACAGGGAGCATTTCAGCCCCACAGTGACAGATCCCTCAGCACACACATTCCACAGCTCCAGGGAAAGTCCCCACGGGATGTCCTGGATTAGAGCTCGGTTTGAGCTGCTCCAGAAGCCCCTGGAGAGGGACAGTGGCTCCCACAGCCCCACTGAGTGACCCCACAGGGACCAGGAACACCAAACCCTGTCCCACCATCCCAGAAATCCAGACTGGCCACGCAGCTCTCCAGAATCTGCATTTCCATCCTGAGATCTTCCTGCCCAGGGCTGGGAAGTGAGGGCACAGCTGTGCTGGCAGTGCTGCCCCACAAACCCCATCCCCAAGCCTCAAACCACACCAAACCCTCCTCACAGGCTTTGCCAGCTGCTCCCTGTCCTGGCTGGACCTGCTGTGCCCCGGTGACACCAGCAGAGCCAAAGGGAAAGGACAGCTCCTGTCACTTTTCCAGGGGTTATTTTCTGTTTCCAGAGAGGGGTTTGTTTGGTGGCAAACCTCCAGGTTTCCACTCTCTTTCACTTTTTCAGAACTGTAGTGTCTGACATTCCAAGGGGAGAGCAAGAAAATGAAACCAACTTGAGTCAGAGCTGCAGGAAGTGAAGGGCAAAATACTCAGCCAGACACAAGAGGAAAGGAAATCTCTGCACCAAAACAAAAATATCGATGGAGCTATTTTTCAGAACAGGACAGGAGGACACATTCCCCCTTCCCACAGCTGCTATTCCCATTGGGATTTTCATGGGATCTCTCCCACCCAAGGGATCTGCATCGGGGTTTGCCTGGTGGGTTCCCAGTGCCAGCAGTGCCACGGGGAGGTTTGGAGCTGCTCAGGGATCTCTGCAAGGAAGGAACTGCTCCCTGTCTGCTCCATGTCTGCTCTGTGTGTGATTTACCCTCCTCATGTGCCCAGCAGCACCAGGAGTCCCCGTGCCCCACCCTTCACCCGCTGATGGTTTTTCCTGCCAGCCCCATTCCCAGTTTCACCCATGAACCAGGGCAGGGCTGGGCTGGGCTCACATGGGGACAGTGGCCCTGCTCCCAGCCTGTCACCACTGCCCTGCCAGAGCACACAGGACCTGGTGTCACCCCAAGGCCACCCAGACTGCCTGAGATCTGTGTTTTCCTCTGTGATTTCAAGCCCAAACACCCCCCACTCTCTCATGCTCGGGGAAGGAAAGGCACAACACCAGACAGCTCCCAGCACTTTGTTCTCTCCGTGCCTCCGATCCCACCTTGCTGCCCACCCTGACCACCCAATGCCAAGCACACAATCCTTGGTTATTTTGGGTGGAAAATAACAAAAGAACCTCAAACCTCGCCCTGTTCCACCCAGGGACACCTCCCTCTAGACCAGGATGCTCCGAGCCCCCAGCATGTCCCAAAAGCGCTGAGCACCTCCCGGCTCAATCCCGCTCCTTACAGAGCTGATCTGTTACCCCAGCCTTGCAAAAAGCCCTGGGGACAGGAAATCCCAACCTTGCCAAAGGAACACAGCAGGGAAATGAATTAAAAAACAAAGGTTTGGAGAGGAGGGGAGCACCCAGAGCCCCCCAGAACCCTTTACCTGAGCTGAGGCCGTGGCTCCCCCGGCGTCCCTCATTCCCCTCATTCCCCTCATTCCCTGAGGCCATTGCAGAGCGATCTGGGGATGGCAGCTTCACCTGGAAGGGGGATGGAGATGGTGAGTGCCTGGAGGAGCCCTGTGGTCCCTCACAGCCCGAGGATCAGCGCACTCTGATTTTGGATCAGCGCGCTCTGATTTTATCTCTGCCGGCCAGGGCTGGCTCCGCCCTTGCAGCGCACTCATTCTGTACCCACAGCAGGAGTTGGAGTGCACTGACTTCCCCGATTTCCCTTTCTACGAGGGAATCTCATTGCTGATGTCATCTTTTGTCACTAAAAGAGACCTCACACCACTAATGGACTTCCCTACTGCTTCCAAAAGCTGTGGGCTGTACCAGCTCCTCCACAGCCCAGAGCACAGAGCTTTCCAAAAGTCCAGAAAAAAAATTCCAGCAGCTCTGAGGCTCCCTGGCTTGTGACCACACTGAGCTGCCTGATAACATCTTCAGGAGATGAGCCCTGATTTCCTCCAGGACTCCAATTTCCTCTAATTCCCTTTGTTCTTTACATTTCCCCTCTCAGAAAATAAGAAAATTAAATAAATGGGAGCTAAACACAATGCTCATCTTTTCCCTGAAGCTCACAGGTGTCCTAAACCTGCAGCTCAGGGCTTATCAGAGCTCCTTGAGGCCACAAAGTTCCTGTCAGAATTAATGGGATCAGGGCAGCTCCTTGCTGCTGTCTGACATTCCAGAGCACATTCCCAGCCCTCACTTCCACAGGGCTGAGCCAGGGGTTTTCCTCATCTGCACCAAGCCTGAAACACAATTCCTGACACCCCAAAATTTAAATTGCATCCTGGACAAAAATAAAGAAGTGCTGGTTAGGGATAAATAACCACCCATGGGTATGGGAGAAGTGCACAAGGTGGTTCAAGCTCATGGCTTCACACTGGAGATTGTTCAGAAGGAAAAAGAAAAGGGAGGCAGGAAGTACAGCTCATTTCTGTGGGATGAGGCCTGGAACTGCAAAGCTGGGAGAACCACGAGGTCCTGCACAGCTGCACAGGGGCCTGAGCCTAGTGGCCAGGATGGAAATGCTGATTTTTCCTACACTCTGATGATGGGAGGACAGGATTGCCCCCTTCCTCCCCAAATTCAAACATCCCCATCCAAGGCAGAGCTGAGAATGCAATGAGGATCATCAGCTGGGACCAGGGGTAAATCCCTGGCGAGAGCTGCTGGCCACTGGCCTAGATCAGCTGCAGAGCTGCCTCTCCTGGCTCTCAGAATCACAGAATTCCTTGTCCTGAGATGTGCAGATCCCCTGGGATAGTGCAGATCCCTTGGGATGGTGCAGATCCCTTGGATGGTGTCCATGCTTTGGGATGGTGCAGATCCCCTTGGGATGGTGCAGATCCCTTGGGATGGTGCAGATCCCTTGGGATGGTGCAGATCCCCTGGATGGTGTCCATCTCCTCCACTCAGGAGCTTCCTGTGCTTCCCCCTCTGCCATCCCAGCCCGTGACCGAGCCCTCCTGCCCTGGGAGGACTCAGAGCTTGGAGCTGTGGGAATGGTGGGAATCTCCTCTGTACCCCGCAGTGCCACTGCTCGGGTGGCACAGGATGCTGGGCAGGGTGTGGGTGCACACAGCAAAGAGCTCAGGAGCCTCTGGAGCTTTTCCAGCTCAGCCTGTGGGGCAGAGGGCTGTGCCCACAGTGACCCAGGGCTGCCCAGGGGTGACTGACAGGGACTTTTCCTGCCTGGGATGAGTGAGTGAGGAGCGAGGACTTCCTGGAGCTGCCTGTGCAGCACTGGAACCGACCCAGAGGCAGATGACTCACGATTTTCAACTTGAGTTTTATTTCTGAAGCCCTGCAGTCTCTTTTGGTTTTGGTTTCCTTCTGGGCCCTGGCCGCGCCGTTTTCTCTGTCACACGTGATGCTGCAGCCCTGTCACTGCTGTCATCACCCTCTGCCGGCCCCAAATGCCCATGTGGACTCCCAAAGGAGTTCACTGCCCATCTCTGCAGGGCTCAGAGTGCCCCAGGCCATCCTCTCCAGCTTCCAGAGCTGCTGCCCGTGCTCCTCCTGCTTCCCAGCTTCCCCATTCCCCCTTTGTTATTGGAACAAGGGTGTGAACCAGGAGGTGACAGCCAAACACCCAGGACAGCCTGGGGCTGCAGGAAATGAAAACTCTCCAAGATCTGAGTCAGGGCTCAAGGGAAGGTCTCAGGGGAGCTGCAGGGTCTCATCCACCCTACAAGGGCCCTGTAGGAGGCTGCAAGGGGTTAAAAGCAGCTGCAATCCCTATATCTGAGCCCAGCCAAGGGGCTCTGGAATCACCTCCTGAAATGTTATGAATGCCATGAAATTGATGGAGAATCCCCTGGGACGAGCCTTGGCAGCGATCCCTGCAGGCCAGAGCTCCCACAGGATCCCTGACCCCATCCCTGCCCGGCCACTCCTTCCCCTGCCCCAGGGCAGCAAAATTTGGGCAGTTTGGGGCCATTTGGGGGTTGCCCAGTTCAGTGGTTGAACAGTTTGGGGCCATTTGCCCAGTTTGAGGGTTGCCCAGTTTGGGGGTTGCCCAGTTTGGTGTTTACCCAGTTCAGTGTTTACCCAGTTTGAGGGTTGCCCAATTCAGTGTTTACCCAGTTTGGGGATCGCACAGTTTGAGGGTTGTCCAATTCAGTGTTTACCCAGTTTGGGGGTTGCCCAGTTTGGGGGTTGCCCAGTTCAGGGTTTGAACAGTTTGGGGCCATTTGCCCAGTTTGGTGTTTACCCAGTTTGGGGGTTGCCCAGTTTGAGGGTTGCCCAGCTCAGTGGTTGAACAGTTTGGGGGTCGCACAGTTTGGGAGTTGCCCAGTTCGGGGTCTGCTCACCCAGCACCCAGTGTGGGCACAGGACCCCCAGCATCCACCCAGCCAAGGTCACCCCCAAACCGTGCCCGGGGGTCCCTGCGGGGCCAGCACAGCCACAGGCGCCGTGTCCGGGTCACCGTCCGGGCGTGGCGGGACGGGTGTCACCCTATCCCCAGCGGGCACAGCTCTGCCCACCTGTGTCCCCTGCCCACCGGTGTCCCCTGCCCTGAGCCCTGTGGGCGCTGTGAGACTGATGCCGCGGGCACCGTCGCCCCCCGGCTGGAGAAAATTCGGTGAAACAGAAAATTCCCTTTTTGGGGCAGCCCGGAGCGGGACCTCCAGCCCTGGCCCGGGGGTTTCTCACTTTGTCCCTGTCCCCCCTCCCGCAGCCCGCACTGCCGCTCCATCCCTGCCCATGCCGGCCGGGCCCGGAGAAGGGGGAGAACCCATGCCCCATGCCAGGAGAGTCTGGGGAGGGGGAAATGGGGGCAAAACCCCACTCACCGCGGGTCGGGATATCCCGGGAGCTACCGCATCCCTGCCGGGGTCTGCTCCATCCCTCCGGCCGCCTCCCTTCCTGCCTCCTGCCCGGGCAAAGGAAGCGCGCGGGGCCGAGGAGGAGGAGGGAAAAGAAGAAGAGGAAAAAAAAAATCAAGTAGAAACCCAACCCCAATGACCATAGATAGAGCCGCGCTTTATTCAGATTTATTCAGCTCCCTCTAGAGGCACCAACCCCCGAGCTCCGGGGGATTTTTTGGGGGGGTTCTGGGGTTTCCTCGGGGGAAGCTGAAGCATCTCGCGGTCCCTTGGGGGGCTTGGGGGGTGCCGAGTGTTGGGCTGGTACCGCACACTCCGTGCCACCCTCGGAGATTCTCCCTCCCGGACATCCTCGGCTCCTCCCTGGCTTCTCCAGGAGCTTTTCCTTAAGGTTGCACCTTAAATTCCTCCTCCTCTACCAGGTTCCCCAACCCAGAGCCCGGTTAAAGTAACGACTTGAGAGTTGATTTTTCCTGGGAGGGAAACTTGTGTCGATCCAAAGGGAAAAAAAAAAAAAAAAACCAAAACAAAATCCCCGGTGGCAGAGGTGGCTCCCACCAAGCGCCTCAGGGAATTCGAAATCCGCGGAGATTTTGGGGAAATCGCAGCAGCTCGAGAGAGATTCGGCCCTGGAGGGTTCACAATCTGCCCGAGCGTATCCTGCCCTCCTCGGGCCGCTGCCAGGGCGGCTGCCGGGGCTGGCGAATGCCAGATAAGCAGCGGAGCTTTGGGGCTGGGCAGAGCCCGAGTGCCGATTATCTCATCTCCCGCCCGGCAGGAGCGCTCTGAGCGCCCTGCAGGATCTGCTCTGCCCCGGGATTTTTGGGATTCTTGCCTGGAATGGGTCCCTTGGCTTTGGAATAGCTGGAATATCAGGATCCTCTCTCAGCCATTCCTCAGTTGAATTCCCACAGAGGGAGAGGAGGTGACAGCTCGGAGGAGTCGCTGTCCTTTTGTTTTGGGCTTGGTTTGGTCAGGTGAAGGTGCAGGGCCCCCAAAAGCAGAGGTGCCCCCAGGGAAGGGGTTCTGGAACATGAGCAGACAGCAAAGGGCTTCAGGTGAGGTGGGTGAGAGGATGGGGAGAGTGGGGGATGCTCTGAGGAGGGTCCCAGGCCTTGGAAAAGGTGTAAGGATGGAGAACCAGGAGCAAAACTGATCCCAGCTCTGCCCTGTCAGAGGCTGTGGCTTCCCAGGGGTGTCCTGGAGGTTCTTCCATCCCTCCCAGCTGAGGAGGGAACAACCTTGGGCTGGTGCTGAGGAGGGTCCCAGTGCCCCCAGGCCTTGGAAAAGGTGTAAGGATGGAGAACCAGGAGCAAAACTGATCCCAGCTCTGCCCTGGCGCCCCAGGGGTGTCCTGGAGGTTCTTCCATCCCTCCCAGCTGAGGAGGGAATAACCTTGGGATGTGCTGGTCAGGTGTGGGCAGCCCTTGGTTTTTGGGAGTGCTTGGCCCATGGGTGCCAGGGTCTGTCCCGTGCCACGGAGCATTCCAGGAGCTCTGGGTGATGAAATGGCCCCAGGAGGGGGAAAGGTGGGAGAAGAGGGAAAGGTTTTTACCCCAGCTCAGCTGCTGGTGTCAGTTCCATCAGAAGGGAGCTGCTGGACACTGTCAGCACTGACATCATCCCTGCCCGGCTCTGTTTCCACTGCGGGCTCCTGCCCCGAGGAATGGGATGGGAAGGGAGGAGCCGCTCCTGAGTGGGGCTGCAGAGGGCCCTGCAAACCCCTGGGGTGTGCTGCTGCTCAGGAGGCGAGCCAGGAGAGAAATTCCCTGCCAGGGGCAGGGCTAGGCAGGATTGCAGCAGAAATTCCTCCCGGTGAGGGTGGGCAGGCCCTGGAACAGGGTGCCCAGAGCAGCTGGGGCTGCCCCTGGCAGTGTCCAAGGCCAGGATGGAGCAGCCCGGGACAGTGGAAGGTGTCCCTGCTGTGAAAAACGCCAATCACTTGTTTTTAAAATTTTAAAAGTTGTTTAATAGTAATAAAATGGTTATAAAATAGTGATATAATTAGAGTAATAATAATTTGGACAAATTGAATTAGGACAATATGAGACAATAGAGACAAAGAGTTACAGATGTCCGGGTACCTTTTTCTGGGCAGCATGAGCCCGAAAAAGGACCCACGTTAAACAGGGGATTAACCCTTAAAAACAACAGCCTGTTGCATATTCATACACCTCATCCATGATGCATAAATTCCATTCAAACACAGGATTCTGTCTGGGCGGTGTCAACTTCTTCCTCTGAATCCTAACAACACCTTCGAGGCAGGAAGAAGTTTGTTTCTTCTGATAATGAGCAATAAATTCTTTTTCTCTGAAATATTCAGGTGTCCTGTGGCTGCTATCTTGCTGCGAGTCCTTTCTTTAAAGAAAGTATCTTACATAGCATAATTTCTATTTTAACATTTTGTTATAACCTAAAACTATATTTAACACACTGCTTAAGAGAATTAATGCACCATCACTTTCTAACACAACACAAATAAGATTCATTTTAATATTTGCCGAAAGCCAATCATAAAATACGAATTTTTCACACCTGCCATGGCACTGGATGGGCTTTAAGGTCCATTCAAACCCATTCCGTGGTTGTGAATGTCCTCGGAGCACCAGGTGGCACCCTCCGACTTCCCGAGCCGAGCCGGGCTAAACCCGGCCGGGAGGCGCAGGCACCGCCGGCTCCAGCTCCGGGCCAGAGGACAGCGGGGACAGCACGATGGGACAGCGGGCTCGAAGGCGTTTCCCAGGTTTTTTTTGGGGTGGGCGGATTCACCTCCTGCACCCTCAGCAAATCCCCGAATGGTGAAAACCGCACCCAGCAAAGCCCCGTGTTGTTGGCCAGGTTTGTCCCAGAGGGGGCCCCGAGGGGGACAGGGCACCTTTCCCGCGGTGTCCCCAGGCCGGGGTGTCCCCCCGTGCTGGCTCCGGGCTCCGCAGGAGCACAGGACGAAGGAAATCGCTTTTTCCTCTCTGCCGGGCTGTCCCTGCCTGCGGGAGGAGCGTGCTGCTGGCTGAGGGCAGCCAGGGTCAGGAATTCCCCACGGGAATGGCGGCTTTCCATGGCCAGAGGGCCGATCCTGCGCAAAGCCCCCCTCGGGCTGAAATCTAGAGGCGTTTGCAAGTCTGGCAGTGACCCATGAGGTGCTTTGGAAGGGAGGATCTGCTGTGCAACCCCTTGTAGGAACATTCCCAGCCCCCAGAACATTCCCAGCCCCCAGAAATTCCCAGATCCCAGAGCATTCCCAGCCAGCATTCCCAGATCTGAGAGCATTCCCAGCCAGCATTCCCAGCCCCCAGAACATTCCCAGCCCTCAGAAATTCCCAGATCCCAGAGCATTCCCAGCCAGCATTCCCAGCCCTCAGAACATTCCCAGCCCCCAGAACATTCCCAGCCGCCAGAACATTCCCAGCCCTCAGAATATTCCCAGCCCTCAGAGCATTCCCCGCTCCCAGAACATTCCCAGCCCTCAGAGCATTCCCAGCTCCCAGAACATTCCCAGCTCCCAGAACATTCCCTGCTCCCAGAACATTCCCAGCCCTCAGAGCATTCCCAGCTCCCAGAACATTCCCAGCCCTCAGAGCATTCCCAGCTCCCAGAACATTCCCCGCTCCCAGAACATTCCCAGCCCTCAGAGCATTCCCAGCTCCCAGAACATTCCCAGCCCTGACAGCATTCCCGGCTCGGTCACGGGCCGCAGGAGCTGCCGGCAGCTCGGCTCGGGCTAATCTGGGAATTGTATGCCAGGAAGGGCACACCCAGCCGGGACAAAGGCTCTGCTCCTCCTCGCTCCAGCGCTCCCGCGTTTCCCCTGAGCGCCTCGGGGCTGCTTTGGAGCCGGCCCGGCCTCGCTGCTCCCTCCCCGCACCTGCCCGGGGCTTGGGCACCTGCCCCACGTGTGGGGACACAGTTTGGTGACGCCCTGAGCTGCTGGAGGCTTTCCCAGCCCCGCCTCGTGTTCCTGCCCATCCCTGAGGAACGTCACTGAATGGGGATGTAGAACCCAAACTGCCCTGGCCGGGCTGAAACTGGGGCTGTGAGAGATGCACATCCTGAAATCGGGGCTGGGAGAGAGATGCACATCCTGAAATCGGGGCTGTGAGAGATGCACATCCTGAAATTGGGGCTGTGAGAAAGATGCACACCCTGAAATCAGGGCTGTGAGAGAGATGCACACCATGAAACAGGGCTGTAAGAGAGATGCCCACCCTGATCAGCCTGAAATCAGGGCTGTGAGAGAGATGCACACCCTGAAATTTGGGCTGTGAGAGGGATGCACGCCCTGCTCACCCCCAGGGTGTTTAATCCAGGCCCTGACAGTGGCAAATTCACTCAGCCATCGTTGTTTTCCTGCCCGTGTTGTTTTGCAGAGCTGTCCTGGCAACAGCCCCTTCCCATGATGCCTTCCCAGGTACCAAAACTCTCCGTCCTTGACACATCCTTAGGAGCCTTGAGCTCCAAATAGACTCCAGGCTGTGCAAAACCGCCCGAGATTTCCCGAAGCTGCAGAAAATGTGGGGGTTATTATTAGAGCTCAGCCTCTGCCAGGGCAAGTGTCAAACACCACGGAGGTGTTGGGAGGAAGGGTTTGACCCGGCTGAGTCACTGCAGGGCAGCTCCTGGTGGGGTTCTGTGTCACCATGATATTTTCCTGAAATATCCCATGAAAAATCCCTTTTTTTTCTCCTGAGAAGCTGAGAAGCCTCAGAGGAAAAGAAAAATAATAATTATCTGCTGCTGTGGAGTGCAACAAGTGCATCTTTGATTGGTCCCATGTGGTTGTTTTTAATTAATGGCCAATCACAGTCCAGCTGTCTCGGACTCTGGTCAGTCACAAGATTTTATTATCATTCCATTCTTTTCCTTTCCTTGCAAGCCTTCTGATGAGATCCTTTCTTCTATTCTTTAGTGTAGTTTTAATATATCATTTTCTTTTAATATATAATTTTCTTTTAATATAATATATATCATAAAATAACAAATCAGCCTTCTGAAACATGGAGTCAAGATCCTCATCTCTTCCCTCGT